CCGGGTCGACCCCCCCCCCCTTGCCGCGACCTTCATGTGCCCGGGTCGACCCCCCCCTCTTGCCGCAACCTTCACGTGCCCTGGTCGACCCCCCCCTTGCCGCGACCTTCACGTGCCCGGGTCGACCCCCCCCCCCCTTGCCTCGACCTTCACGTGCCCGGGTCGACCCCCCCCCTTGCCTCGACCTTCACGTGCCCGGGTCGACCCCCCCCCTTGCCTCGACCTTCACGTGCCCGGGTCGACCCCCCCTTGCCGCGACCTTCACGTGCCCGGGTCGACCCCCCCCCTTGCCGCGACCTTCACGTGCCCGGGTCGACCCCCCCCTTGCCGCGACCTTCACGTGCCCGGGTCGACCCCCCCCCCCCCCTTGCCTCGACCTTCACGTGCCCGGGTCGACCCCCCCCTTGCCTCGACCTTCACGTGCCCGGGTCGACCCCCCCCCTTGCCTCGACCTTCACGTGCCCGGGTCGACCCCCCCCCTTGCCGCGACCTTCACGTGCCCGGGTCGACCCCCCCCTTGCCGCGACCTTCACGTGCCCGGGTCGACCCCCCCCCTTGCCGCGACCTTCACGTGCCCGGGTCGACCCCCCCCCCTTGCCGCGACCTTCATGTGCCCGGGTCGACCCCCCCCCCCTTGCCTCGACTTTCACGTGCCCGGGTCGACCCCCCCCCCTTGCCTCGACCTTCACGTGCCCGGGTCGACCCACCCCCCTTGCCTCGACCTTCACGTGCCCGGGTCGACCCCCCCCCCTTGCCTCGACCTTCACGTGCCCGGGTCGACCCCCCCCCTTGCCTCGACCTTCACGTGCCCGGGTCGACCCCCCCTCTCGCCTCGACCTTCACGTGCCCGGGTCGACCCCCCCCCCTTGCCTCGACTTTCACGTGCCCGGGTCGACCCCCCCTCTTGCCTCGACCTTCACGTGCCCGGGTCGACCCCCCTAACCTCGACCTTCACGTGGCCGGGTCGACCCCCTTAACCTCGACCTTCACGTGCCCGGGTCGACCCCCTTAACCTCGACCTTCACGTGGCCGGGTCGACCCCCCACTTGCCTCGACCTTCACGTGCCCGGGTCGACCCCCTTAACCTCGACCTTCACGTGCCCGGGTCGACCCCCTTAACCTCGACCTTCACGTGCCCGGGTCGACCCCCTTAACCTCGACCTTCACGTGCCCGGGTCGACCCCCTTAACCTCGACCTTCACGTGCCCGGGTCGACCCCCCTAACCTCGACCTTCACGTGCCCGGGTCGACCCCCCTAACCTCGACCTTCACGTGCCCGGGTCGACCCCCCTAACCTCGACCTTCACGTGGCCGGGTCGACCCCCCTAACCTCGAACTTCACGTGCCCGGGTCGACCCCCTTAACCTCGACCTTCACGTGCCCGGGTCGACCCCCTTAACCTCGACCTTCACGTGGCCGGGTCGACCCCCTTAACCTCGACCTTCACGTGCCCGGGTCGACCCCCTTAACCTCGACCTTCACGTGCCCGGGTCGACCCCCTTAACCTCGACCTTCACGTGGCCGGGTCGACCCCCTTAACCTCGACCTTCACGTGCCCGGGTCGACCCCCCTAACCTCGACCTTCACGTGCCCGGGTCGACCCCCCTAACCTCGACCTTCACGTGCCCGGGTCGACCCGGGTGACTTTTGAGTGCCATTGTTCTCTTGTATCAGCCCCAATATTCTGGAGCAGAATACTATTGATGTGAGAGATGGGGCTTCAGTTAATTTCAATTGCTTTATCTGGATTATAAGCAGGATAACATGATATAGAAGAGAATATTACAAACTAAATTTTTTTATTTATATATACAAGAGTTTGGAGCGAGTATATTATTGACATAATCTACTCGCTACATACGAGTAGATTTTGCCAATAATATACTCGCTCCATGTTCGTACATTCTTGTACACATAGCTTTTTTTTGTTGTTTTTTGTTTTTTTTGCAGGGATTTTCCTGCGCGGGCCCTAAACCTCTGGCTGGCCCACTGCGCGGGCCCTAAGCCTCTGGCTGGCCCACTGCGCGGGCCCTAAGCCTCTGGCTCGCCCACTGCGCGGGCCCTAAGCCTCTGGCTGGCCCACTGCGCGGGCCCTAAGCCTCTGGCTGGCCCACTGCGCGGGCCCTAAGTCTCTGGCTGGCCCACTGCGCGGGCCCTAAGCCTCTGGCTGGCCCACTGCGCGGGCCCTAAGTCTCTGGCTGGCCCACTGCGCGGGCCCTAAGCCTCTGGCTGGCCCACTGCGCGGGCCCTAAGCCTCTGGCTGGCCCACTAAGTGTTGCTTGTTTCTGTTTTACTTGGGCGGAGTATGAGTATTTATGACTCGTATGGTCGCTTCAGTAAGATTTTGCCATATATGTTTAACAACTTCTTCTGCTCTGTTGAATCTAAGTTGAAATCTTAATGGGTTTGTAACTGTGCACTGTGTTAGATAATGTTCCAGTGGTCTGTTGTGGCTGTAACTGTGCACTGTGTTAGATAATGTTCCAGTGGTCTGTTGTGGCTGTAACTGTGCACTGTGTTAGATAATGTTCCAGTGGTCTGTTGTGGCTGTAACTGTGCACTGTGTTAGATAATGTTCCAGTGGTCTGTTGAGGCTATAACTGTGCACTGTGTTAGATAATGTTCCAGTGGTCTGTTGTGGCTGTAACTGTGCACTGTGTTAGATAATGTTCCAGTGGTCTGTCGGGCATTTCTCCACAGTGTTGACATTTCCTCTCATCGTCGTACGCATAGCGTTTCGGGCAGGTCCTTAATCCAAATTTTTCCCCTGAAATCCGATCCGCCAAAATCGTTTAACGGTACCAATTCACTGCTGGGTGAACAGAGGCTACAGTTAAGGACTTGCGCCCAGTCAATCCTTCCGGACCAGGATACGAACCCAGGCCAAAGCGCCGGGCGAGTGCTTTACAACGGCGCCACGGGGACATCATCAAATTTGTAGATGCCACTAAGTTCTACGGCAAAGTAGGAAGTGAACATGATATTGAGGACTTGCAAATAGATTTACATGAACTTCGCAAATGATCGGAAGACTAGGAAATGCTTTTTAATATAAGAAATGCAAGATCTTGTGTGGGGCATATAATAGTGTACATTAAAATGACAAAATCAACAATTAACATTACCGAGCAGAAGATTGACGAAGAAAAGAACTTTAGAGTCAGAATCCAACAATCACAGAAAATTGCACTACAAGTGTGAGCTGCAGTAAAAAAAAAAAAAGTAGGAATAGTCAATGTAACCTTTGACTTGAAGGAAAAGAAGTTGGTTATGCAACTGTAGACATCTCTGGTTCCCCCTCATCTGGACCACTGTATCCAAGCATGGAGACCTCTCTTCAGAGGGACGCATCTCTGCTCCGGATAAAAGTTCACCACGTCCGGGCAACAAAAATCCTCCCAGAACTAAGTCGACTTTCATACTAGGATGACTGAGGGCCACAGTGTTAACAACACTACAAGCAAGACATGACAGAACTGATCTCGTTGAAGCGTTTTTTTAAATACTGAACAATTTGGAGGATATTGATCCAGATTACTTCTTCCAAAGGTCAGATGTAACACAGACATGGAGCAGCGGCATCAAACATAAAAAGTAACAATGTAAGAGAGAAAACAGGAGATGCTGTTCTACAGATACGGTTATAAACCCGTGGAACCGCCTACCCGCTGAATCCGAAAAAGCCAAAACATTGCTGTAATTCTAAACCCAGCTGGATAAAATAATCGGAACAAATGGGGCACCTTTGACAAGCCACCGACTTCCTGTCCACGTCGAGGCCACAAGTGAGATGGTAGTCCCCAGGTTCATTTAGGTAAACATCATTAGCATATATGAAACTGGCAAATATAATTAATATAATCGGGAGCCGAGCGGACAGGACACTGGACTTATGATCCTGTGGTCCCGGATTCAATCCCGAGCGCCGGCGAGAAACAATGCGCAGAGTTTCTTTCACCCTATGCCCCCTGTTACCTAGTAAAATAGGTACCTGGGTGTTAGTCAGCTGTCACGGGCTGCTTCCTGGGGGTGGAGGCCTGGTCGAAGACCGGGCCGCGGGGACACTAAAGCCCCGAAATCATCTCAAAATAATCAATAACAAAGGGGCCTGATGGTTGAGTGGACAGCGCTCATGTTCCTAGTCCTGAGAGTTCGATCCCTGGCGAAGGCGGAAACAAATGGACAGTTTCTTTCACCCTGATGCGCCTGTTCATCTAGCAATAAACAGGTATGAGTTAGGCAACTGCTACGGGCTGCTTCCTGGGAATGTGTGTGAAAAATAGGATTAAGGACTTGCCTGAAACGCTATGTGCTATGAACTCTTGTATATATAAAATACAAAATACATAGAACTCTTGTATATATAAATAATAATAACTATACACACACGAAGACCCATCGTTGAACACTAAGATAAGATATTGATTCAGGTAAAGGTACATACATTGAAAATGAGTTACAAACATAATGTGGGATTAATAGATCGAGCTAGTACATACACTCCGTGAAGTCACTAATACGCACAGCGTTTCGGGCAAGGAACACACACACGAAGACCTATACGCATATAGTCATTCACGAATATTACACCACTTGAAGTTTTCTACTTGACAGTTTTATATTTTCTAAATGTTTCGTACACAGTCAATATAGATCGATCAGTGTGGCAGTGTAACATGAATACAACTTACTGCAAATACTCACTGATTTATTCTCTATATATGAGTGAAAGGGAACTCATATAATACAAACAAAATATGCAAATGTAAATGCGATCAATATTAAACTGATAAACATCATATCTAATTATCGATCTAATAACAATTAAAAAGCTTCAGGAAATTAAGTGTTCCGGCGCGTAAATAATTGTAATGTACAGAATAAGAGTTAAATATATGCATTATGATGAGTGTACGTGCGTTAGGCATAGTTCAGGAGCTGACCTTGAAGCACGCGCACGAGAGACAAACTGCCGCTAACGAGCCAAAAGAGCGAGCAACTGTCTCTCCGACATTTACTGTTATAATCAATCAATTGTTTATAACGAGACACACCCTTCTTAATGTATGCGATTACAACCCTCTTCTAGAAGTGAACAAAAGACTCTAGTTACCAGTATTACTTTGATCCAGGGTTAAGTTTGTGCTATGTTGTGGCAAGGTATAGCGGTGTGTTATTGTTTACCTAGTCAACTGTTAAAGACGGCGGGTGTGAATACACTCATACGCAAGTGATCTACACTCTATACACACCACATTATAAGCACACATGCATTCACAGGTTGTGACTGTCGCAGGAATACAAATGGCCACTCTCAAGCCTGTGAAGTGATAAAAATAACATGTTAAATTACATCTCCGATTGCGATATTAATCCTTTAAAATAAAAATATTGAGCAATAGTGGGCGTTGCCCGGTGCGCTCGCCAGGCATTACCATATTGTGTGGGATAATGGAAACTAGGCAGCAGGGGAGCGAGACGATAATGAGTGTGAGTGGTAAATAAACAGGTAGCAGTTGTAGAGAGGAACCATCGCCCCGGCTCGTGTCACTTGGGCCCGAGTGTAAATACGTACAACAACAAAGCCAAACAAACTTATTTTACGCCAATATAATTGTCACTTATGGACTTGTGATATTCGCTGCGTAATGCTGGATGATTAAAAAGGCTTCATGGTGGTGAAAGAAGGAAATATGTTGGCTCTTAAGGTCTTGTTGATCATTGCCGTACGCATTCGACATTTGGCCTGAATGTCCGTGACGTCACGATAACTAGTGGAAAAAGTGAAGATGGCTGCCTTGGATGACAGCCTTACAAATTTTGAAGGGCAAAAATGGTCCTTATGGGCCGAAAGGCTCGGCATGAATAGTCCCACAAGTAAGTGCGATAGTTTAAATTAACTGGCAAGTGAGTGAGATAACCATCAAGGCGCTAGAAACGTCAAACTTTGAGATCGAAAGTGAGGGTTCGCACGTGAAATCTGTGAAAATACGGCGATTGTTGTCCTAATTTTAATGTTATTATTCGTTCTAGGTGACTCAGAAGATGAGGAAAATACAAAATGTAGGCGAGAATCGACGACAACTCGTCTTAAAAAGGAAGGTAAGAGTATGTCAGGCGTGTGGAGAGTAGGAAAAGTGGAAAAGGTAGTGGTAGGGTAGGTGGAGCGAAGCCTGGTCGCTGCCCCCCGACCCCCTCGTAAACAACACCAACAAAAGATCACCTTGTTTACCCTCCCTCCTCTCTACCGTGTTTCTCTCACTCCTACTTCTCCCTCACACTCCCTCACATCCTCCTCCTCCACACTCGACAGCCTATTGAGCAGGGAATGCCTGGGATTCGGTTGAAATGGGGTACACATTTTTTTTATAATGAATTCCAGTAGTAGAAATTGCCCCATCTGGGCATTATTATAATTCATGTCACATCTCTAGTAATATAATCTTCATCAGCATTATTGAAAGCATTATATTTCCACACAAAAACATAACATACATGGCAACACTGCTAATTATTGCTTGAAGGATGCTGTGGACAAGTTTAGCCATAATAGTTACAGCTACCCTATTGAATGAGCATAAAGATATTAATTGAGATTTTTTCTGTGAAAATAATAGTAGTGTAAATCTGGTAAATATTGTAATTGTCAACAAAATCATGAATTTTCAATGAAATGGAGAATGACGACATGTGTTCAGTGCATTATTCATTAAGCAAGAAATTTCACGATTGGGGGATTTTCACTTCTTAATAAATGTTCATTTATTAGCAAAAGCAGCTTTTGATGTTACTATTGGTAAAAACAATATATTTTTTGTTTTATAAGGCTACATACAAATGCCATAGGCAACGCATTTGTATGTCCTGCAGTATATTCCGGTACTGTGTAATGACAAGACGCAGCAACTCTGTTTTTAATTGCAGTTTTTAAGTATTTTTTTTTTTTTTTTAGACAATGCACAGATAATATTGTTATTTTTTTATTATCCAAATAGTTCAGTTGCCTCAGAGACCAATATTGTTTGAAATTGGTAAATTGTGCATTAGATAATAAATTTTAATACCTATCTCTATTTTTAAATGACAAAAGCAAGATTTATAATTACAAGTTTATGATAACTGATATTAAGGCTGATAATTACACTTTGTAACCAGGTCCATTAAGTGCATGCAGCATTTGATTGTGGCTGTTTATTATAAATTATGGCATATCTACTATGAATTCTAATGACTCTTTATAATAATACGATGTATGTTAAAGACAAAACTAAAATATTACATGCAGTATCCTAATTTTCATTTAAAGATGCATTAATAACAAATATATTAAATAATAAATGCAACCATGAGAAATTTTGAAAAATACCAAAAAAATAAATGGCTGTGTACTGTATACTGTACTGATTTTTTACTTTATTGTAGTCTTCACAGCTATCGTGTACAAGAATATTGTGATAAGGCACTGTTTACATTTTTAGGGTTTAATTTGTAGTGGATATTTAGTACACTGTATTATGAATGATAAGGACATCATATAGTAGATTAGATTAGGAAGATCAGGCCACTCCCCGTGGTGCAGTGGTAAAGCACTCGCCCGGTGCTTCATGAGCACTTTGGCCTGGGTTCGAATCTTGGCTGGGGAGGATTGACTGGGTGCTAATCCTTAACTATTGCCTCTGTTCACTTGGCAGTGAATGGTTGTTAAAAAATTTGGCGGGTCGTATTCCAGAGAACAATTAGAATTAAGGACCTGCCCAAAATGCTAAAACCCCCCATATATAGGTAATATATATGTATATACAGTATATATATATATATATATATATATATATATATATATATATATATATATATATTATATATATATATATATATATATATATATATATATATATATATATAATGTCGTACCTAGTAGCCAGAACGCACTTCTCAGCCTACTATGCAAGGCCTGATTTGCCTAATAAGCCAAGTTTTCCTGAATTAATATATTTTCTCTAATTTTTTTCTTATGAAATGATAAAGCTACCCATTTCTTTACGTATGAGGTCAATTTTTTTTTATTGGAGTTAAAATTAACGTAGATATATGACCGAACCTAACCAACCCTACCTAACCTATCTTTATAGGATAGGTTAGGTTAGGTAGCGGAAAAAGTTAGGTTAGGTTAGGTTAGGTAGGTTAGGTTGCCGAAAAACAATTAATTCATGAAAACTTGGCTTATTAGGCAAATCAGGCCTTGCATAGTAGGCTGAGAAGTGCGTTTTGGCTACTAGGTACGACATATATA